AAATTCCAATGACATTAATCACAGAGACTGAAAAGTCAACTCTAAAGTTCATCTGGAATCACAAAAGACCATGAATAGCCAAGACAATACTGAGTACAAAGAGCAATGCTGGAGGTATTGCAATACCTGAATTCAAACTATACTACAGAGCCATAGCAATAAAAAGCAGCATGGTACTGACTGGCACAAAAACATCTATGAAGACCAGTGGAACAGAATAGAAGACCTAGATACAAAACCATGCAGTAGTTACACTCACCTAATTTTTGACAAAGGCAACAAAAACATACAATGGAGAAAAAACAGCATCTTCATCAAATGTTACTGGGAAAACTGGACATCTGCCTGCAGAAAACCGAAACTAGGCCCATGTCTTTCACCCTGCACAAGTATCAACTCAAAGTGGATTGAGGACCTTAATATCAACCTGAAACTTTGAAGCTAGTTCAGGAAACAGCAGGGAATACTCTGGAAGCAATAGGCAAAAGCAAAGACTTCCTTAGTAGAATGCAAATGGCTCAGCAACTAAGAGAAAGGATTGACAAATGGGAGGACATAAAATTAAAATGTTTCTGCATAACAAAAAAAGTGGTTTCTAAATTGAAGAGACTGCCCACAGAATGGGAGAAAATCTTTGCCAGCTATACTTTAGACAAGGGACTGATAAGCAGAATATACAGGGAACTCAAAAAACTAAACTCCCCCAAAATCAATGACCCAGTGAAGAAATGAGCCAATGAACTGAACTGAGCCTTCCCAAAGGAAGAAGTCCAAATGGCTAAAAAAAATATGAAAAAATGCTCACTGTCCCTGGCCATAAAGGAAGTACAAATCAAAACCACGTTAAGATTCCACCTCACTCACCTTAGAATAACTACCATCAAGATAGCTACCACAAACAACAATAAATGGTGAGGATGTGGGGGTGGGGGGGAAGGAAGGCACCTCCCTGGTGGCAATGTAAATTAGTACAACCGCTATAGAAAACAGTAGGAGTCTCCTCAAAAACCTAAAAATAGAACTGTCATATGATCCAGCAGTACCACTCATAGGGATATACCTGAAGGAATGTAGGTCAGGAAACAACAAAGACACCTGTACACCCATGTTTGTTGCAGCGCTATTCATAATAGCCAGCTATGGAAACAACAAGATGCCCCACTACTGATGAATGTATTTAAAAAATGTAGTGTTTATCTACAATGGAATTTTACTCAGCCAAAAAGAAGAATGAAATTTTGGCACCTGCAGGTAAGTGGATGGAACTGGAGAACATCATCTTAAGTGAAGTTAGCCAGGCTCAGAAGGCCAAAAATAGCATTTTTTCCCCTCATATGTGGAATAGAGACCTAATACAAATACAGCAATATTATGAAAAACTGGTCACACTAAGGGGAGGTCACATTTGAGAGGGGTAGGGTAAAAGAGGGAAACTAAGAAGATGAATATGGTTGATACACTCATACACAATTCTATGAATATAGAATTCTTTTTATGGAGTAAAAACTAATTTATTATGTAAAAAATTATTAACTTGATTCACATCTTCACATCTTTAGGCCACAGTATCCTATATGTAAAACACATTCTTAAACCAGCTGAAACCACCATAAAAAAGGGACTAAGATAGAATGAAGAAAAATAGAGGAGATGAACCAGTTGGGGTTATAATACACGTATACACTGAAATATCACAAGGAAACTCCCTGTGTAGCTATCTTTATCTTAAACAACCAAAAATGTACTTTTTTTCTGTTCTCTTTTTTCTTCTACAAAATCGGAGAGCAGGAGGATGGAACAGGTCCTGCCCAGGGAGAAAAGTTGGCACCAGTGGGATGGGGGAGGTGGCGGGGAAAGGGGAGAGAAGGGTGAATATGGTGCATATGTCATGTAAATGAAAAAATGACATCTGTTGAAACTATTCCAGGAATAGGGGGAGTGAGGAATACAGGAGAGCAGTGGAAAGGGTGAATTCAAGTATGATATATTTGATCTATTGTAAGAACTTTTGTAAATGCCACCAGCACAACAGTTAAAAAAAAAAAAAAGAAATGGTCATTGGCAAATAACTACTAATTAGAAAGTACGATGCATCTTCTATAAGAAGGTGAAAGATAAAATAGTATAGTAACTTAGAGAGGACTGGGGAAGTAGTTCAGTGGTAGAGCACTAGCCTACCATGTGCAAGACCCTAAGTTCTCTCCCCAACACCACACACATATCAAAAAGAAAGAAAGGAAAAAAAGTTCAGGGGAGTGGCAATGAATTCCACTTTTGGGTATTAGGAACATCTTCACAGAGGGGTAGTGACTTTTTCTGAGATTTGGAAATTAAGCAGAACCTGAATGTATAGAGTAGGGAAGAAGCTCCTAATTCATCAATGGCATGAGGTCAGAAATATTTGAGAAATGTATAGGGAGCAATGAGTCAATTTGGTGAAAGGGAAAAGAGAAGGATGAAGATCAGAAAAGCATGTTGGGGCTCTATTTTTCAAGAACATAAAATATAACAAAAGATTGGTGAATTTCATGCCGTAAGCATTAGGCAGTCATGTAGGAGCAGAGGTGAAGGTTGTGATGTGAGTTGAGCTGTGCTGTAGAGGGTTGTGAGGAAAAATGTTGAGAGACATGGTGGGTAGGTTTCTCATAGGTTTATGATGGTGATAACTGGAAATGTTGCAGACAGTTTCAACAGCACTTGATAACTGATGTTATCTGAAACATTTTGAACTGGTGGAAGTAGAGTTGTGTCTTTGAAGGACATGAGAAATACAGAAGAGTTGCTTATGTAATTGGCTTTTGGAAAGAAAATTATCTATGTAGGTCTGGAAAAATTAATTAGGATGCTAATTGAACTCAAGGCTTGGAATCACAGGAATGGAGCCCAGGACTTAGAGACTGGAAACAGCCATTTTGGTTAGAAATCCCATGATTTGATGAGTTTTTCAGGGCAGCGATTATAGAGAAGTAAATGAAGACGATTCAAGATCGACAGTGGGGGATATCTGTATTTATCACATCAGAAAAACAAGTAGAAGAGTAGAGATAAAATACAATTGTTAAAGGGGCAAGGAGAGTCCAGTATCATGAAAAACAGTCAGAGCAAGACTTTTAAGGGAAAAGTGTCCATGAATGTCAAGTACATCCCTTCAAATGATGAAACAGTTGAAAACTTAGAGATTAAGAAAAATCTGCTAGATGTCTCATTTTCTAAAATGAAATCTACAAGCAGTGTGACATAATGGAAGATGGGTGGACATTGCAATCCAAGGAAACAAGTCAACTTTTGATTCTGTGTGGTGGAACTTTTGTGACTTGATGCACAGTTTCCGGACTGTGGGATGGGGATAATACCAGACTTAAAGAGTGTGGTGAGATTAAGTTTCATGCACAGCTACATGGATAGGAAGAGGCTGCTGGAAATAGGCTTGTAAACAGAGTTGTCTCTTGAATTTATCTCCTTTTTGATTTCCATTAACTTTCAGAAGTCATGTGTTACAGAAAACTGCTATGTGGATTCATGGGTGATCATGTTAAATCACTTAGAATGATTAACTGAGAGTAATTAAGAATTGGCTATTAATCCCTCCTTGGGTAGAGATGAGTATGGGGAACAGATGGAACAAGGTTTACTCCAGTAAGTCCTGCCAGAGAAAATGGGTAAGAGAGTATGGAGGACCAGGCATGGTGGTACAGGCCTGTAATCTTAGCCACTAGGAAAGCCTAGATGGGGAAGATTGTGGTTCAAGGCCTAGGCAAAAAGTTAGTGAGACCCCACCTCAACAAATAAGCTGGATCTTGTGGTATTTGTCTATAATTCCAGGTACATGGGAGGAATAGGCAGGAGGATCATGATCTGAGGCCAGCCCTAGACAAAAACTGTTAGGCCCTATCTGAAAAATAAGTTAAAAGGATTGAGAGCATGGCTCAAGTGGTAGAAGACTTGCCTAGCAAGTGCAAGACCCTGAGTTCACATCCCAGTACTGCCCAGAGAAAGAGAGAGAGAGAGAGAGAAAGAGAGAGAGAATGAGATAGTGTCAGCAGCTCAAGACAAGCTGGTCAGTATGGATGGAAATGACACATGTCCCTGGGAGAAGAACAGGGATCACGATGTCCATCACGTTTGATTTTATGTCCCCTAGAACCTAGCAAAAGTACTCTTCATAATAGATCTTCAGGAAATCTTTTTTAGGTAAATAACTGAGTCACAGAAGTCAGGCTGTTAGATAGTGCACATATCAGGAAAAGGGATAAAGCACTGAGTGAAAACAAGAAATTAAATTGGAAAATCATGCAACCTAGTGGAATGTGGGCAGTGAGCAAGCAAACAGGTATATATGCCATGTAAAACTGTCACAAACACAACGTTGATCATATGCCAAAGGATAAACATCTCAAAAACCAGAAACCAATGTCAGAAACAAACAAAAACAAAGACAAATGTGAATTCAAGTCCAGGGTTGTTTTTAACTTCTATACACTAGTAGAGAAACATCACTACTTATACTTCTATCTGTTCTTAGTAGAAGTTACAGAGGTAAAGTAATACCGAATGTCTTTTGTTTTTATTAGCAAGCCGTAAGAGAGCAACTTATCAGTGCTTCACATAATGGTTACGTGCGTAGCCTTACAAATTGGTCTGGGTATCATGGTATGCACAGTGAAGAATAGCACTGAGACTCCATACTGATAAAATGCAAATGAGGAAGTATTCTGTTTCAAATAAGGATGGCGTAATTCCATCTTAAATTATTTCAGTGTTTCTCTCAAGCCCATCTCCTATGAGACATTCAGATTTATCATGCTAAACTAGATCTCTGTTGTGACATTCTTTTAAACAATGACATGTCAAATTGACTATGTATAAAAGGAAAGAGTATTTGGGAGATTAGACCCTACGGTTTGTACATTTCTTCCTTAAATACTCCAATTTCACTGTTTTGTTTTGTTTTTACCCATCTCCTCCTCTTGCCCCTTCTCTGTCCTATGGTTGCTTCGCAGGCCGCGGCACATGTTCCTGTGGTCATTGCGTTTGTGAGAGAGGATGGTTTGGCAAACTCTGCCAACATCCACGGAAGTGCAACATGACAGAAGAACAAAGCAAGAGTCTGTGTGAATCAGCAGATGGCATACTGTGCTCGGGGAAGGGTGAGTATCTCTGCCGGAGCCTGGATTAGATTCCTGTTCTGACACATGGCTTGTAGAACAGCAAGTAGCAGACTGATTTTAGTGTGGAAGAAAGCCACTCTGCTCTGCCTGGTGCCAAACTTGGAGCTTGAACATTAACTATGGGAGGTTTTTGGTGTAAGATAATGAAATATATGAGAGAAACTTATGCAAAAAAACATCATCAGCCACTTGTGTTCAAAGTTGTGGCCAAAAGGAATAGAATGGATAACTATAAAGAATTAGAACCACAACATTCTGGGTACTGAACAGACCAAAAACCAGGGAAAAAAGGGGATGATTGCTGAGGTCACCTCTGAAATAGCAGTTGAGAATTATAGAAAAGTGACAACCATATGATTCTTGGAACTTCTAAGAAGTGTATGTAGAAAAGGGAAGGAGAGGGTGTGTGAGGAAAACAGAAAAAGTGACTAAATATTTAGTTCCATGAAGAAGGAAAAAAGAGTATAAGTCTCAATTCTGCAGTTTTCTTTGGTCTGAAAATCACCAATTTTTCCAAGAAAGCTTTTGTGACTTAATATATAGAAAGATAAAATGAAAAAGGAAAATGAAACTTGCAAAGAATAGTTATGTCCTGCAAACTGACTGAAAAGGAGTCAGCAAGCCAGTCAAACACTTATCACAGAAACAGATTTGAGGAACAAGCAAATCCCTTTTTCCTTCCTCTATACACACACAAAAGGAAACCCAAGGCAGATTTTTCCTGAGTAAAGATTATGAATGTATAATGTTCTTGAAGGCACTTTTATATTCTGCTATCTTGGCACATATTACATGTTTAAGGGATACCATTGTCCACCTTGCTGGTGCCTAAGCCTAAGGATTCTCCTGGCATGTTGGGAGTTGATCTTCATAGAGCTGGAAGTTTGGAGTGTCCCAGCTCTCTTCTTAGCTCATCACCGCCTTGTAGAACAGACTCTGCACCCCCTTCAGACATGGTACTGCTCTAGCTGAAGCTCCATTGACCCCTAACACTGATTCTGGGGCAGGTTAAACACATGATCCCTTTGTGCAAAGGACACAAGAAAGGAAATGTATACCTGAGACACTGAGTAGTGCTCTATGACACCCTAGTGATGCCACATGGCCTATGAAAGAAACCTCATGGAGCAGGATGTCCTATGGGTAATGTGTTTTCATCACACAAGGCACAATTGAAAGAAGTTTTTTGACATAACTTCAGACAGAAAAGCAGATGGTTGCTCTGACTACTGGTGCCTGGGGGGAAACTGAAAACAGATATGAATGTGATCATTTAATAGGCAGCTGTGTCCTTGGTTTCCAGGAATTTTGTGTTCCAGACTTCTCCTTATAGTACACTCAGACAAGTAATCATACCTTCAACCTAATGTCATTTCAGCAGGCAGGTAGCACTCAAATGAATTTAAAGCAAGCACTTTGTTCCCTCTGTTTATTCTCCTGTTAGATTCTATCTAATCACAAGCTCCAAACAAACCTTGCACCAATTCTATTCTCAGAGATTGCTGCTCCCTGAAACACCAGCTTTGGTTTCAAGCTGTGTTGGAAGAATCAAAAAAGGCTTTTTTTTCTCTGCTTCTGTTTCATACCTGGCCCATCATCATGACTGTTTGTAACTTTTTCTATAACTTTTAATAAACTCTATTACCTCCCTTGCTACAAAAACAAACAAACAAAAAGAATCAAAAAAAGAGGACAGGGAAGTTAAAAGGAAGAGACAATGGCAAGGAATTGGAGAGGAAGTGATTAATAAAGAACTTTAGGAAGGGGGGAATGAAATTAACCTGTGAGAGAAAAATAGAAGGAAGAAAGAGGTGTTATCAGATCATAGGGCAGTGTTTAAATTTCCTGGTTTAGATTGTTTATTATGAACATAATTCCAATCAGAGCTTTAAAATTTAGATATTAGCTTGCATGGTTTTCCTTAATGGCCTTTTCACTGGAAGGCCATTATCCTTATATCCTTATCCTTAGATCTTAAGGATATAGGCTTTTCACAAAACTGTATCAAATGAGGACCCCATTCATACTAAAACATAGTGTGCTTATTTGTATTTGTTTATTTTTAAAACCATCCATTGCGTACATGTGTTTGTGTTTACTAAACATCTTATTAAGTTATTAAAATTGTCTATCACCTGGTGTTTTCTAAGTCCTGTCCAATTGTAAGTACAGCAAGAAAACACAAAACTATACTCACCAGTGTAGTGAATAACAATCCACATCCTAAACTGACTTTCATATAAAAAGTGGTTTCTTTTGAAGGAATAAAAGTTCCTGCTAAATTCATTAGAGTTTAAGGGAAGGTTTTTACTTTTTACCATCATAAATGAAGAAAATGCAAAAAAAAAAAAAAAAAGTTGATTAAATAGCGACCTAAAGGTATTGCCTCAAATAAAATAAAACCAAAAATGTCTCTCCAGTTAATGCCTTTCCAAGTTGTATGAGTGCTGTAAGTATATCCAAGGATCAAGGAAGGGTTGAAAGCATATTTGTCTAAATGTTTATCCCTCAGTGGGTAGAATGCTTTAGAGGCTTCAAATTCTGGTAAATTTGAGTAGTAAAGACTGCCCCAAGGCTCTATGCTTCCATGCACAGTAGGGACAGGCAGCAGTTAGTTGAGGGCTTCTTTCTTTCCTCCAATTCTAGGGACATCAGTGCTAGATTATGCACTAAGATCATGCAACTGTGTCTGTTTCAGGGATGTAGCAATTGTTTTTGGTCCCTATGAGAAGCATCATCCCACGTCCTGCCCTGAGAAACAAAAAACAGCCTCATGAAGTAGACCACAGTATTTCAACATGGTGACTGAAAAGAGAAAGCTGTTCAAAGCATTTGACTGGAACTATGAATATCTGAGTGTCATGAACTTGTTTGAATTATGCATAATTTTTTTTTCAAATTTGTAAGTGAAAATCCCTCATCCTATGATCACGAAAGATATCCAGCCCTTTTTCTTCTGATTATGGGACAGGTGTGAGCCCAGGTCCTGCGATAACCATGGTGTGTACTCAGCAACACATACCCACCAAAATGATGTCTGAAATGTGCACATGCCATGAACTGTGAATAAAGCTGTCACCTCAGGAGACGATGAAGAAATAGCATTTTATTTCTTTACAAATTTATAGCCAAGACAATAAATCACTCCATAGAAAAATTTAAAACAAGATACATTGTTGTGACCTTCATAACAGATGGAGTCATTAGTACAGTAGTGAAAACTGCCTGCTGGGATGTTGAGTTGCAGCATTTTGTCAGGCATGATGAAAGAAAAAGAAAGTCTAACATTAGTAATGGAATTGGGCAACTAACAAAGGTGCCTTGCCCTTGGGCTCAAATTGTTTTAGTAAATAACCAAGAGAGATGAGCTTAGTGGCCAGATCTCCCCTATATTTAGCTACCTTTGTGGAATATTCATAAGATTTTGTTTGTTTGTTTATTTGGGGATTTATTTATTTGGATCCAGGATGACATTGCAACATTTTTACCTTAATAACTTCAACCTAGATCTGAGTAATCATCTCTAATATTCTCACAGATGTTGTTATGTGGCAATGGCTATAAACATACATCATTAAATGTCTCCTTAAATCTTCACAGTGACACTCATTTGGTCCTAAATCATCCAGTAAGTCCAGAGTATACCCACTCACTGTCCTATCTCTCACCCACCCAGCTCCTGGTCCCACAGGAAAAGAGAATGGGTGAAAGCTGTGCTTCAGCCCAGTGTTCTGGTTGCTTCATTCAATATGGCTGTCTGTTGAAATCTGCAGAAACAAACAGTTCATTTCTGAAATTATGTGAAAGTGTTTGCTGTGAGAGACATCACAGATAAGCAGATAGCTAGGGTGTCGATCAAATCAATGGAAATCTTATATTAACTGTTGATTATTGCCTATGTGGTCCTATGCAATTCCCTTATCCTCTCTGGTCTTCTAGTCTCATATTTGAAGGCTGAATAAGTTCATTTCTTTCCCCTTCTTAAGTCTTAAGGATGCTCTGAAGACATGTGAGGAAATGTGGGTGATTCTCCAGGGGTGGATGCCAGCAAAAAACACAGAGGGAGATAGGAACATTCTTAAGGGTCTTTACATTGAGAAAGAAAACAATTGTGGTTGTGACCTTACCACCCTAGAGCTTCTGGCAAGATGGGTTAACTGCTCCTCATTTGGGGCTGGGTCTCTGGGGGTGAATGGATACCAGCCAGCTGAGTTGAACAATTTCTGACCTCTGGGTAGTCAGGTAGTCTATGTCTTAGATAAAATCTTCTCTCTAAAAGTTTCCCTTTCCAGAGAGGGTTGATCCATCCTTGTTATTGGTTATTGATGGTTAACAGCCAGAGCACTCTACAAGAAAGGTGCTATAATAGGTCCTAATAACTGTTCATACTGTGTTATTATCACAGGCTATGATATTCCTAGTTATACAAGCAACAGAAGAATTTCCTATCTCTAAGATGCATTGAGTATTGACATACAGGGAAGAACATGGCTGGGAAAATGATGACTGAGAAAAGCTACTGTTCCATGGCACATACAAAAGCAATCCTTACTCTTTATTCTAAGTGTTTTGTGACTCATAGACTCTGTAACTGGAATCTACTCATCAAATATTCTTATCAGTACACACCATATAAACTTTAGCTGAGCTTACCAGTTTTAGGAACATACCTGCTGTGGCCTAAAATTGAGCATATCAGGAGCTAGAGTAGTGAGTAAAATAGTTTCAGGACTAGGGAATAAGTTGGAAGATGAAATATGAAATTCTTTCATGAATTGTGAAAGAAAAAAGTATAATTTATGAATATCATGGACATATAAAATCATTTATTTCTATTGTAAAAATACATTTGCTGTGCAAGGGAGATACTATTTTAGAAACAACTAAAAATGGTCAAGTTCTCCAAATAGTCTTCTTCCACTTATGAAAATAAAACACTAAATATGGTGCCTTCTGAAGAAACCTCTCTGATAGCCAATGTCATGGGCCATGTTTTCCTTGTTGGCAGATATATTACTAACCATTTGTTAAACAGGCAGTTGAGTGTTGAACATGTTCATGCCTAGAAATTTGAAAGTCTTGATAAATAAATATCTAAAATAAGGAAACACTGTATCTTGATTAAACTAAAATGAGACCCTATCCCTTGCTGTTTGCCCTAGAGGGCCAGCTTCCAAGTTCTCAAGCAACCATCAGGCTGTCAGTCACTCATCAGAACTGAAAGATGGCTTGTACATTAATGAAGTACCTGCAAATTAACAAAGACTCTTCAGAAAACAAGTTAAGACTGAATGTATGCTTCATTTAAACAAGAAATCAAAAATAAAGGAAAAACAATTCTCACAATATAATTCTTACTACACTATTGAGATTGAGATTCGTGACAAAGAATGGTACAAGTTTGATTTGGTCATTGAGAATTCTTTCAACTAAAAATCATATACAGGTTTCCATGATATGAATACCACAGGGCACTTAATATTGGGACACATTAGCTTGAATTCTTTTATGATCCACATGGTAAATATAATTCTGTTACCCCAACCCACAGGTTTCCTAATCTCCATTTTCTCAGGTTTTCAATTATTTTTCAGTCACTATGTTTCAGTAGAAGCACTCATGATTGATTCCTTCTCCCCTCAAATATATTTTGAGCTTGCCAAGTTTGGATTTTGTTAAATCTGTCAAAATACTTTTGCTACTTCACATTCTGTCAAGGTGATTTTTGAACTGAAAATTTCCTTTGGTAAAAGGAAATTGCTTTTGGAAAGAATAATTAAAGAAATGGAAGGGGAAATTCTTTAGAATTTTTTTTGTCTTCCTTGCTGTAGTGGAAGCAGTTTTACCACAAGAAGACTTTTTTTTATTCTCTCCTGAAAGATGTTTAGATTGAGACAACTTTGTCCTCCTTGGAACGTGATATGTCTCATATTTTCTTTGATTTTAAAAAAATTCTTAGTAATCCAAAACATCTTAATGGCCAAATACTTTTTCGATTAGGTAGGAGGTAAAAAGAGGAGAAATCAGTAAAGTGTTGGGAAAAGGGACTGAAGATATTTGGAGTAAATTGGACATCCCTGATTATGGTAGGGAATCCTGATGACGAAGTCAGATAAGTCAAACATACAAGAGTGATTATGTGTGCATTTTTAGCACCTTAATTAGCCACTCTATATGCAGTTGTGTGTATATGTCCCTACTTTAAGAAAACCATGTAAACAAACATCCAAAATGACGAGCTTAAAATTTAGTAGTTATTTTAGTTATACATTGTACCCTCATTTAATAGAATTTACTATTGGGTTCCTTTAAAGAACAGGCACTTTACAAACATGATTCAACTTGAAAAAAAGTGAAAAAAAAAAACCCACCTATTTTTGAACACCTTTCTGGGAGCCCATCTATAAGAATCAGCCACATTTTGTTCGCATTGACATTTCAACGAGACTGGGCCAGGGAACATTTGCTCAAGGCTAATTGCAACTGTCTAGATCCATAATGAAGGCTTTCCTGGATGACCTTTATGAATTACAGTAAGTAAAGCTCCCCTCTGAGAAACCAGCTATTCAATAAACTTCTACCTTTGGAAGATAGGTTATTAGAAGCCTATTGTCAGTATGTCTACGATATCCTATTCTGCATGAAAACCTTTAGTTATATGGTGACAGTGAGTAATGCTCTTTGTGATTTCAGGTTCTTGTCATTGTGGGAAGTGCATTTGTTCTGCCGAAGAGTGGTTTATTTCAGGGGAATTCTGCGACTGTGATGACAGAGACTGTGACAAGCATGATGGTCTCATTTGCACAGGTGCAGTATTGAGCTACTGTAGTTGTTCTGTGTCACATTACAATAGAGCCAAATAACACCCAGCAAACAGGACAGCTCCATATAATCAAGGATAACTATTAATCTGAGATAACTGAAATAGGAAGTGGACATTTGTGAATAGACACTAACATTATTTCTAGGCAAAGAAAAATGCAAAAGAATGGAGCCAGATCATATGATTACTGGGAAACTTCCACAAGGTAACTGACCCTATGAAATAACACAAATGAGGCTTATACTAAATAGAGACAACCATCCTATTTTGGTTATGGTGTAGGAAACAGACCATTATTTCAAGGAGAACCCAGGTGCCATTAGTTGGTGTGTTGGTTGCTTTCAGAGAACCGAATGGATATTTCTATTGCATGAGGAGGAAGAGGTAGGAGCAAGGTATGAAAGTGGTTGAGATGTGTAATCTACTGATACCTAATTTTTGGAGCCCTAATAAGTTATTATAAAACATATTTGTTTAAACAAGTTATGGGGGAAATAAAGACATGTAGATTCGATCTCTTAATTTCTAGCAAAAGGTAAAAAATTAATATCTGTATTGCCACCGTTAGTCCATCCCTACTATTCAAGTGTTCTCTTCTAGCTGACTATCTGGCCTGCTTCATGTTATGTCAAGGACCTTTATGTTTTTCAGTATTAATTCATTAGTCATTTATAATTTGTTCTCCAAAGGAAAATAGAACTGTGACATGATATCCCAGCTGAGTGATACAGGATGGTAGCAATTTAATTCACAGATCATGGCACCAAATAGATGCCATTAATTGAAAGATGAGATTTCTCTCAGCTGCTTTATAAAATGCAATAATATCATTGCACAATAAGAAAATTTAGAGAGGATAAATGCGGTTTTCTTATGGACATTTATAGCTTAAAATAGCATACTTTAATGATATAGCCTGATCATGATCCCCATGTGTATTTTGTTACAGGAAATGGAATATGTAGCTGTGGAAACTGTGAATGCTGGGATGGATGGAATGGAAATGCATGTGAAATCTGGCTTGGCACCGAATATCCTTAATGATTCCATGGGAGAGGACTGGATTCTTATTTTTCTGGATCACTTTAGAACATAGAAAAGCAGAGGAAACCATGTGTAATCGCCACTAGGACAGATTTGACAGACTATTGTATGTTTTTTCTATTTCTGACTGAATGAAAACTGGGTACCCATTAGAAATGAGTTAAGCAAATTATATTGTAAATGACATTATAAAGAATTTTTCTTCTGTAACTAACATCGTTAGTTCTCAATGAGGGCAACTTTGCCACTCAGAAGACATTTGGTCATGTCTACAGAAAATTTTGATTGTCACACTGGGTGGAGTAGGGGGGTGTACTACAGGCACCTAGTAGGTAGAGATGCTAAACACCCCACAATTCATAGGACAGCCCCCACAACAAATAATTTTCTGACTCCGGTCATTGGTGCTGGAGTAGAAAAGTACTAGATTGCATGTTTTTTAGAAATCTAATTCCTGCACCAGCAATATCATATTAGAATCCAAGGAAAAGAGCCATTTTCACATAAATTCACCAGATTTTTCTAGGATTACAAATGACTCAGCATTTCCATATGGGGACATTGAAGACAAAGACAGAGGTATGATCTTGGGTTGGTGGGATCACTAGATCATGAGTGCTTCAGAAGGGAAAGGATTGGTCATTTTTAGCCATTAGGCTTTGTCTGATCTCACTTTAAACTCAGAAGAGTCGCTTAAGATAAAGGAAGAAATAATAAAAAATGTACAATTTAACATTTTTAATAAAAAAGTTGTTTATACTCTGTGTCAATATATATTTACCTACTGATCATTAACATAAACAACAAAAATAAATTGTTATTCAAGAATATCCACTTTAAGTTCTTATATGTAAGAGACCACGTTGTAAAAATGAGTCAGGGGTTACATGTATAAGAAGCCAGATACTTCACTACTTAAATTATCCCCATAGTGAGGCCTTTTGAAAAGATAAAATCTGCTTTGAAATATGATGAGCCTGAAATATGCATTTGTTCCCCCACAATATTCTCTTTTTTCCTATGGAACAGCAGGGATATACAAAAAAAAAGATGGCACCCTTCTCAAAAGCTCAGAAGGCCTAAAAATCTAGACATGATTTAAGTAGAAATTGCAACTATTAATTCAGTGATAGGAATAAAATTTTTACTTTCTTAATGACAAAATTTTACTATATGAAATTCACATTGAATTATGAAAATGTGTAGTACTTGACTTCCCTTAAATATGTATATATATCATTAGATTTACTTACACACACTATTTTAGGTAACCTTTAGTTATTTAGAGCTAGAAAAACACCTTTCTTTTCTAAATGTGAGTTATTTTGTAAAATTCTAAACTAACATAGCAAAATGACTGCTGTATGTTTTAAGATGAAAAAATTTACTTGGAAGTTTTGTGTTAATGATGCAATTATTCTAGCATTATGACTTGGACATTGTAAGTGGAATAACCAAAAATAAGAAAAATATGCATCCACTGTGTTACTTACTTAAAAATTTAATATTGAAAATTATTTGAATATTTAACTGATACTGCTTTTACAGAATTAATAATGTTCTCATAATTTGACAGATTTATAAAAGTGTTATCTCTAGCCTGAGATTAAGGTGGGCAACCATATTGGTTGTATTTATCTTCCTGTATATGGTAATTGATGAATCAGTTTTGTAAAATGAGGGAGATGTATGTAGCCAAGAAATAGTACAGATATTCTTTCCTTTCCTCTACATAAACATTTTCAGCCTCAAACAAACCTGTTATAATTATTTAGTAGCCATTTCATTACTTATTTGATGATGCACAAACACTTGAATTCATTGAGCTACCTCCCCATTGTGCTACAAATGACCTTCAGGCTCCCCTACTGCAGGGCCCGGGTTTCTATAAAGGACTGGGAATATTTAGAAATGTATTTGGGCTACATACATTTCTGTAGCATATTCTTCTTTGATTATTTGTATTTAATATTTCAAAACTGTAAAAAAAAAAATCATTCTGAGCTCCCAGACTCAGAATACAAAAATAGATTAGGGCTGACTTTCGCTCACAGTTGGATAGTAGCTTGCCTAACTCTTCCCAGTGAAATTACCTGTAATTCCCTATGGCCCTATGTATAACCTTAGGTGAGACATACTTTTCTTATAATTCTCTCTATATTCTTCCTTTTCATCAATGGCAACTACAGCAAAAGTGTTGTTCTCTTTATATTTTCACATAACGAAAGCATCAAAAATATCCTTGCATTTCAGCCTTCTAAAAAGGTTAGATTTGGAGAAATTATTATTCCGTAGAGCTCAAAATGCGATTTGTCCTGATTTTTGAACAAAGATGAAAATAAATTCTAGTTAGTCATATTCTGAAGCTCCTTGAATTACAAATTGTAGAAATAAAATCCCCATATTAGGTCACATGGTACCTAAACTCTAATGAATGCTTTTTCTATGACAGGTGTGTGTGTGTGTGTGTGTGTCTGTATCTGTGTGAGTTTGGACTCTAGCAATACCACATTAATATAACTATAAAGAAGTGATTGAATAAATATGTTTGACACTGGAAAAAATAAGCAAAATGACATGAAAATACTAGTTATGACTTTCTTGAATATGATTTTGTGTCTTGACTTTTGGTTCTGTGACTAAGAGAAACTCCCTCTTTAACAAAGGGCAAGATCACATTTGTTAGGGATGGGAGAAAATAAGCAAATATTGTTCATGTTTTTTAAACATCACAGTTGGACCAATGTCAACTGGACACAATGCAACATGTTTACTGGTGTGGTGGCACTCACACTGCTTGCTTGGCAAAGTATTACAGAGGAATTCCTTCACAGCACTCACAGAAGTCAACTAAAGTCCTCAAGCACAAGAAGAGAACCATTATACCTACTAAGTTTTTGGCTTCTGAGTTCATCTATTTCTAACAGCATCTTGGAAGGAATGACTTCCACCAGCTGAAATGCAAACACAACCTCTGCTAGGAATCATCAGACTTTGAATAAAAACCAGTAACAAAACCAAAATGTAACTCAGCCTTAGTCTGCAGACTCAACTATCACAATTTCAAAAGTCTACCCTGTATTCTAGAGCATCACCTGGCCTTCTTTGTCACCTTATTAGCTAAGAAACCTAAGTTATGGATGTATTTTACTCCTAAACAACCTGATTTACATTCTGAATGTGGTGATGCCTGTATTTGGAAAATAACTGAACATTTAGTCTAAAATTTTTTACCCTGGCTATATCCATTTTCTAAAATAAAATTTAAAATATATCTTAATTATTACACCTCCTTCTAAACTGAATCTTAGTCAATCTTGTTACTCCTTCTTAAGGAGTTATAAGACATTAATCATCTCTGCAATATTAGGGAGAAACTTCAAATGAAATTATGCATGTCTAACTTACAGAATAAGACAGCTTTTGTTGTATGTTTTTGTTAAGAGAACCAAATCTGATATTGGTCATCCTGAAAAAAAATAAAAGCTGTTTTAATGTCTTAAGCATTAAGCAAGTGTCTAGGTTTGACAAAGAAACTCTGCTTACTCACAGAGAGAGCAGCTAGAAGGACTGGAGCAGATTGGGCCCATTGTCGATGTCCTTTGTCATTCCTACTCCAAACACTGAACAAACAAATGTTTAGAGCATGGATCTGAAAATTCTCCAGAATTTATGATGAAATGATGCTTTTTTTTTTTACAGAAGGTAGACTATTTTCATGTCTTCTATAACTTTTTTCAAATAAAGTAGTAGTGAATTTTAGAAAATAAACTTACTAGAAAACAATAATAATATCACTCAAAATCAAAAGACTTAACATTTCTGAGCATTGTTAAGGGATGGGCAAAGCAATTGGCTGCCATGACAAATCAATAGAAGTAACCCTCCCACACCAGATATGCATGCAGAAAGAATGGGCTCTTATTGAAACTTAACACAATGGACATATGTACATGGAGGTACAAAACACACGGTTTTGAATACAAATGAATTCCATCAGATTTACTATACAGAACATCAATAATGACAGACTGTACTTTAATTAAGAGCAAACTTAACTTCTGAGGGAAAATAAATAGTGAAGTCTTATCCTGGAAGAATAGCAAGAGAGGTATCATCAAAGAGCTAAAATTTTCTTTGGCATGGTAAAAGGGGAAATTGAGTTTACCAACTTATTTACATGACATTTCTATATGTGGGGATGATACAATGCTATTTTGTTACATAAAGTGGTTTGATATTTTTCATATGCCTTCATATAAATATTTATTCAATATGTTGTATTTATAAATACAACAAATGATAATAAACACAGAAACTGTACAATGCAGACAAACTCTTGTATGTGGATCAAGTAATACATACCAACAATTCTGGATATACAGGTCCCACTACATGCAGTTCATCAGTGCTGTCCTCGTCCCATGCAACAGGTGAGACCAGACACAAAAGTGGTCTAACTAAAGCACAAACAACAAGGACCCCTCCGCAACATGTCTAAACACACACTAGAAGAAAGTGTTATGACATCCACTCATAGAGATAAATGCCCTTATAGACAACCCTTAAAAACAGAGCAGAGATACACATTTACATAAATCCCAGTCATTTACAAAAATAAATCTCGTCTTAATTTTAACCAATATGCAGGCTTGCAGGAGAGAAAGAAACCTCAAGTAGGGCTCGAGTAGGGTTGATTATCAAAAAACAAATGGGGTTGTTTGGGGAGTGTGTGTGTCTGTGTGTGTGTGTGTGTGTGTGTGTGTGGTTAGTGGTGTAAGCAGTGTCTATAAGCGTACATAACTGGAATTATAAGTTATTCATAGTTTACCACATATTATGGGATATATGTCATCCTTAAATAATTGGTTAATGGAGTCTAATATGTATTTTCTCTTCCTAAAAACAATAGCCTTTAGAATAGCATAATACCAAACCAAGAATGATCAAAGGAACCATGTTGCAGTGTTGTAATTTAGCATTATGAACAATAAATCTACTCAAACGTTATGCTAACTTTTTATTTATTAAAATGGAATCCAATATGAAAAGGAAGTAAGCATAGACAGTTAAATTTATACTGAAACTTTTATCAGCTAAGCAGGCCAAAATTTTTAAATGCTGGGCAAGGGCTGTCATGGAGATTTATGAAAGCAGTGACAAAATAATTTCCCAGTAAATACATTGCAGATGGGGATAAGTGGCAATGGGGTCATCATTCCACATGGAAATACAACAAGAGGCCAGTGCATTGATACCACCAGCAAGTGTGTTCTTTAAATGAGGTTCACTTTGGTCTCAACTCTTCTGAGAAGAAAACACTGAATTTTATTAAGTGTACACAGAGTTAACAAATATATTTCCAAACAGTTTAGTATGAAACATTTTGAAGCTCTTTATATCCAATATTGAATATTTTGTGTGGAATCTCTACTGTATGGTCAACGATTCATGGCCTGTCTTAGTAGTTGCCTTCCCCAAGCTCAGAGTTTAGTAGTATCCAATCCAAAAGGAAATTAAATGAGCAAAATAAAACAAAGCAAATAAATCAAATGGCCCAAAAACTTGATGTTTGAGAGTGTTGGTTTGCTTTATTTTTATCTAGAATATTCGACAGAGGGTAGTCTGAGATCATGGCAAGGCACCTCTAACTCAGCCACCAGCCAACATGGGCCCCCAAAAGCTGAGTTAGAGGTATGTACTGGTGAGATCCACAGTACCAGACTCAGCATGCTGAGCTAAAAAAAATATTTTTCCTCGTATGTCCAGTTTAAAAACTTGTCATTAAACACCAAAAATATTAAAGTCTAATTTATAACTAATGTTTGCATTGCTGCTGCAGAAAAGAACTCAACAGCCGCCTTGCCCATGCTTGGCTGAGTATGAGTGGAACGCAGCTCAAAAGGGAACAATGTAGATTTGGTTCATTAAAAACAGGAAGGAAGGAGTGGAACACAAATGGATTTAGGTAGCACATTTCTTGTAGGTTGTAATGATTGATTTTTCCTTTTTTTTTCCAATAATGAGGACTAATAGATGAAAAATGAACCTTAATCAGGCCCACAAGGCCTACAGAATTCTTTGGACCCACTTTCTCAAAAACCAGTGGGTCTTGCTCGCTGGGCAAGGCAAATGTTACCATTACCAGTAAGCTTGTGATATGTATAAAACACACACGCACAAAGAAACTAGAAGGGGTGTCAAACACTTACTGTAGAGAGCTTCCCATGTCTGTGTTTGACCCTTGTCCCACCCAGGCAACAGCGACCTTGGGAGCCCAGTATCTGCTACTAGATAGAGTGTATATGTGTGTTTAATCAGTAATGTGAGCCAGAGACAACCACCTTAATCTTTATAGATGCAATTTGTAATAATAGGTTTAGAAGGCTTCCTGATTCCTTGATTGCTCTCCAATCTAAGCCAACTGCAACATTTAAGATTTAGAGGAACACAATCACTGCAAAAGGTCACAGACAGTGGAGCGAGCAGCCCTGTAAAAACGGGAAGAGAAATCCATAATAGCACAGGTTTACAGCGTCTAACTAGAAATTACTCAATATTATTTGTGTGCTACAAAATTGAACTTAAACACATGGATTTCGTGGAAACAGGACTCAAAAGGATTATGGGTAGCTGTCAGCAGGCAAGGTATCGAGTGTACTTGTGAAGTATGTCATTCACATGGAGTGTCACAGTCACAGAAAAGATATTAAAAAGGCATTCCATATCTGGTAGGGCATTCCATGGTCTGAGTTAGCTGGTTGTCCAGGTGTCTTCTTGTTGTGGGGGGCCCACAGGTTGAGATCTATCCACTTGCAACGAAGAAGTTCTGAGACAGCAAAGGGCAAGCATCAGCTTGCTTTCTCTGCTGCTCATCAGCCCCGGGAGCCAGAAGGTCTGTAAGGATAAATCACTCAACTGTGCTCAGGGAGTAAGTCACAACACCTGTGAGGATCTGGCTATGTGGTCTTGCTCTTGTTGACTGGTTTGCCTCCATTCATTATTGCAGACGCGCTTGTGCTTTTACTTGGTGTCACCCCAGCCTTCGGGACCGTTTCACCAACGTCATGCAAAGATGGTTCTCGGTACATGGCAACTAGTGATGCGGAGAAAGGAGGAGGAAAAGGAGACATTACTTGGTTATTTGCAAGAATCGCTCTTCTTACATGTACAGACTTCAGCAACTGTCCAGTTTCTGTTTTCCCTGATGAACACATTCCCACGGACAAAGGACTCCAGTTTTAAGGCAGTAACAGAGGAAGTCACTTTCAACACATTCTCTGGTTTATATACCTAAAATAAGTATACGAGTGCACACATATGAGTCTTTGTTTAGAAGAAAAAGGTTTAAGTGGGAGCTATGTCCTCTTTGTTGGCCTATAATATAAAACACACATATACACACACAAAGTACAGGAGGACAAGCATTTGCTCTACTTCTCTGTCTAGAAAGGAAAATTCAGACGTCCCTTCCACTGCACACTAGTATCAACCTTTGAAATACTCAATCCACTTCATTTTTTTGAGCTGAGGTATTTGCACTCTGTATCATTAAATTATTTTTCTCTCAAGTGGTTCCAAGGCAAGATAGTCACATTAGTGTCAACTTCAAAGCCACACAAAGCAATAACGAAGAACTCCCTTGCATTTAGACAGGGCCTTCCTGACTTAACTTTTTTTTAAAATTTATTTATTTTTTTTGTGGGATTGGGGTTTGAATTTAAAGCTTCATACTTGCAAAGCAGGCAGTCTACTACTTGAGTCATACCTCCGGTCCAGCCAGGGTCTTCTAGAGAATACTGTTTTGATTTTCTTTCCCACAATCATGGAAAGAGATCCTTAAACAACTGCAGGTAACATATTTTTATGCCTCAATTTCTGGCATATTATTAAAAATCTAATAATTGATTCATGTAGGGCAGAAGGACAGAATGGAGACACAGCAACTGAGACTGATGACTGAGAAAAGGCTGAGGAATTCTCTAATGGTAGATGACCAGATGGTACATGGTATCACCAAAGTTCATGTGGTTTTGCAGAAAATGATTTTAGTGAGTTCTGGGAAAGGACATTTAAGAGTAAAGAGTATTCAATACTTGGGAAAAGCTTGTTGAGTTAAAGTCATCTGCTATCAGAAATGTAAGTGCAGTAGAGCTGCCTAGGTTTTGAAAGGGTTAAGGCATTTTATGAAGAGCCCTTGTGTTAAGTTAGGAAGACCTATTATATGTATCTTCCTTGTGTGCAGGTAGAATCTTACCTTTGCATCAGTGCATCATGGGATTTTTCAACAGCTCACATACTTCAAAATTCAAATGTGCATTCAGGCTTATATTAAAGGACTTAATAATGTAGTAAAAGAAACTAATCCATATCCTTGAAGCACATTCCAAGATTTCATTTTCGTATTAATTAAAATAGGAGATAATAACATTAAAGCCTTGACTTTGATTATCTGTGAAGTGACATTGTATAAGGAACACCAATGCTGTAGAGTAATAATAATTGAGTATCTACTTTGTCCTAACATTTCTAGTTATATAATTTACTTCCCATATGGATTTTGCAAGTTTGAAATTAATTTTCCTCTACCAAGTAAACTATGTGATAACCCCTGTGATTTCAGTGTCCACTCTCTTGTATGTTTAGAGTACTTTAGTGCACGAATTATTTGAAAACATGCTGTTTCTGTCTTACTCATGCATATACATACACAAAACGCACACACAACAGTTCAACATAAGATTGAAATACCACACGATATATTATACCACACCATTAGAATCGCAGCTATTGCCTATCGGATGTATAAAATAACTGGCCTTCAAATTTTACCACAGTTAAGTGCCATAAGAGCCCATGTTGTTTTCATTACATTCATGCATATAAGAGGTCTTAGAGATTTACACAATTCTCGTCTATATTCAAAATGTACAATTAGTGAAAAGAGACAAAGCAAGGTGGAAAATGCACCAAGGTCTTTGTAGAGTTAGTATGAGCTGCTTTTTATTAATTTTTAATTTGCATTCGAATATTTGCAAGCATGATGGAATTGCATCACCATTCCCTGGAAGCAATAAGCTCATACCGTGGATGTATTCTTTGGAAGGAATAGAGAAACATCTATGTTCTTTCTAGTCTCATTTGCTTTCTGAGCTTCCACAGAATGAGAATCATTCACTCTTATTTCAGACTTTGGAATAATTTTTCCTGGTAGCGAATTGTTTGGGCTTCAGTGAATCATTTGAGAGATGAATTTAATGGTGATGGGAAGCTAACATCATTGAGATTATGAAGGTAACATTAATCAAGCAAGTATGGCTTTTCCAATTTTAGACAAACTAAAACTTTATTTATATATTCAGAGATAATGATGCATTGACTGTTCAAAATTTCATGTTATCCCATTCCTATATAGGAAATTTGCCTTACAAGATCAATGCATTTTGTCTTGATGGCTAAGACTTTCTTGTAGAAATATAAAAGAAAATGCAAACTGCACTGACTAAGGTTTCTTAAAGTATTTTTTCAGATCTTGTATATTTGACCATCTCTGAAAGAGCAAACAAAATTATCTGGATAGAAAACATTTTTTAAAGTAGTAGAAGCAGGTTTTATTTTTTAAAAAATGACTGCAATAGAGTAGACCTCATTATAAAACCAGGCTCCATTCTGAATACAGCACAACCTGGTGGGGACTCCCAGCCCAGGGGCAAGATTGAGGTTAGTGGGTGAAAATAGACCTGAAAGGAAACATCAAGGATGAGAATTCTGATAAGCAGTTCAGAGATATCAATGGTGGGAGATAATGACTTGATAGGATATCAGGGGTGTTCAGATTCTAAGGGTGGGAGATTCTGGCATAGCAATGTTCTTTCTACACCTGGACAATGCAGACCAGACATAACAGATACCAAGGTAGAGGGCTACAGAGTCTAAATTTAATCAAGGAGAATCTCTGTCAATAGTGTTGTAAAACTACTGAATTTGTCTCATTGAAAACAGTCAGGTTGAAGAAAAAGGAATTAAATTATTTTAAATGTAGATATAAGGAGCTTTCAAAAAACCAATAATTATCACAAATTTCAAACTAGAAATTAAAAGCCACAAAACCATCTTACAGGTTTAAGTTTCTAATAAGGTAAATATTAATCATCATAACCACATTAAAAAAATCTCTTTGGAGTCCCCACTTAAAAAAAAAATAGTGTAGTCTTGAGACTAATGTAAGACATCCATTGTGGATCACCTACTCCCTCCCAGCTTGGTTTTTCTGTGACCATATAAGTAACCACTGCCTGCACCTATATAAGTTCCTGGTAGGCCCTTGGTTCTTTTAGCCCGGGAAGCTGTTTTTGTTGACCTGAGGGACTCTGAACTCAGAGTCTTGTTCTTTCTTCACTTTCTCATTTGTTCCCTTAGAAAACACTTTCAAACACCCTCAACATAATTTTTTTGTAGTTCTTAAACAAATGTTACACAGATAAAAGTAAATGACCTTTCTGGCAGGATCACTAATGTGCAAGGTACAAATGTTTCTAATTAATTGACAAAATGTTGTAGTCTGAGCCGTGGGATCTAATCAAAGCAAATGGGAAAGCTTTCTTTTTTTTACAGATGAGTGCAAATAAATTATTTTATTTAAAGAAAAATAGCTTAGTAAAAAATAATTTATGCAGTTTATAAGAAGGTATGTAACATCAACTAGTTCTTCAAGGGTCAAGTTATTATCACTTTATTTTCAATAATTATAATAATTCACAGGTCATTTTACCCAGATAACATCAAAATGAGAAAATACTTTTGATTCCATATGCAAAGCTTGTATTTTCTAATACAGTTATCATCACATATTTGTAATATCATTACAGACTTCATTTTTTTCTATTAATTGGCCAAAATTACTTAGAGATTAGAGTGTTTGGGGGCAACAAGGATTTGTGACATTAGAATAAAGGGTACAAATCTACTGTTCTTATTCCTTGGTGGTAGGGATTAAAAATCCAGGGTCCTGCACATGCTAAGAACATACTCAGCCACTGACCTACACCTGTAGCCCAACAAAGCTAAAATGAACAACTTAAGTAGACAACTGTATAAACACACTTCCAATCAAGAGAAAAGGCATTTCTATCACTTTAAGGAAGGTTCCTTGTAGCCATGGCAGACTTATCAATGTGGAAACAGAATATGAAATAAGTCAGATAAGGATAATGCACAAAGCACACATAAAACTCACCTTCCAATGGCTTCGGTAGAAAATGAGCTGCTGGTTTGGTTTTCTTTACTCTGTTTCCCTTCATAGCTTGCCCTTCCTTATTTAATCCCAAAAACCAGGCTCTACCAGATTCCTGTTGTCTATACAGCATGGATGAGTAGATTACATAATAGTTTTCAAAGACAGACTCTTTAAACTTGCATTCAGGGGTAAAAAGTTCCTATTAAGAGAAGAGAAGAAAGTTAAGGGTATGAATTGGATTTTCAGTGTTTCTATTTGTCTTCCAGAAATTCTTCCAACGTGATAAAAGTATCAGGGGATGAAACCAAGATATCCCTCTTCCTGGACACAATAATTGTCCATAAATTCTTCTCAATACAAAATGGTTAAGAAGAATCTGGTATATCCGCATTTATATATATACAAAAGTATAGATGTCTTCAACAAACATAGAAGACTTTCACTTAAATTCAATCACAGTATAATCAGACAAGAAGCATTAAGGTAGTGTCATATAATCACAAGAAAGTAAATGAAACTGTTTTCATTTTGTGATCTATTCTACATATTTCCACAGGGACAATCATGTGATCCTCTGCTACTTGCCATTATTATTGGGATCACTGGTATTATAGAGTATTACATTTTTCCTACAAAGAAACAAACTAACCTCAGCTAGAAATGAAAACAATTAGCTGGCATGCAAGCTAGCCAAAGGGCTGACTAAGCCGACTGTATGACCAGCTGAGACCAGGTGTCATGTTAGATGGTCATAGTGACAGGAGCTGAAAATAATTACCTAATTTCCTGGCTTGGAGCCCTGTTGGAATTCTTGAAGGTGAACATCAAAAGTTGTCCTCACTTTTAGAAAGAAACTAGTGTATTAAATACTGTTAGGCTCTATGCCGTGATGTGCATTGGTTGGTAACACAAAGTTTACTATGTAGAATTATCATTAATATCACAAATATTCACAGATTATTTTATATATTTGTAAAAATTCTCATTTTGAAATGAATAATGGTGACTATGATGACATGCATATTCATAAAAATGCACACATGTGGTTTTTGTTGTGGTGGTTGTTTTGACAGTACTGGGGTTAGAACTCAGGGCCTCTACCACTTATGCCACGCTCCTCAGCACTTTGGTTTAGTTTATTTTTCAAATAGAGTTTCATGTTTTTGCCTAGGCTGGCCTTAGACTGATGCTTCTGTCTCAGTCTAAGATATCTGGGATTATAGGCACAAACCACCATACCTGCCCCCATATGCATTTCTGATAGACTTTAAAATTCAGTCTTCCTAGTTACAGACTATAGAAGACACTTAGCTAGTTTTCCTAGCTGTTTTAGTTAGTGTCAACACTGTGCTATTCTGTAAATATATGAAACACAGATATAAAATAGAACTTAATGGTTATTGAGCTTTTTAAAAATATCACTGCACTCAAAATATACACAAGATTTTCATTTCACTTGAATAGAATTTACTATTGCAGAAAGTCAGTTTTCTTTTCTTTTAAAACACTATATCTTCAATACACATTAGAAAAAGACATCATTTGGGAGCTAAAAATGTCTTTAAAAGTTGAATTATGCTAATTCTAATAAGGAGTGTGCCATAATTGCATGTAGAAAATTTCTTTCTATATTTCTGATAGATATGAATCAGCAAATGCTGTCTTCTCCAGGATACAACCTATTCAGCATGCTCCATAACTTTAGCTAATTCACTTAAGAGTTTTCCAAGGGGAAATGGATTTTGTAAATGGCAAATGACCCATACAGTGATCAATATAATGACATTAAAGTAGCCAACAGACAAAGCTAGCCCTTCACAAAAGGCTTTGCATAGATATTCATTTCTTAAACACAAAGCTGCTTCAAGTTTGAATAATATCTCACCCAAATGAATGTCTTGGTCTTCCACTAGATTCCATCTCTCTATTTAGCCTCCTAATAGTTCTTTCTCTTATAAGTGATAACATCACTGAATCTATGTCCAAGCCGTGCCTCACAGGAAAGATGACAAAATAGTGTATTTTCACACATTTAGTGGTCAGGAAAACAAAATGAAATTCTATAAATCTGTCTCATCTCCAAGAGATTAAAAATAATATCATATTGTTTGAAACTATACCTTTTAGGACTAATAGATTAAACTTTGATATGTCACTTGTCTTTTTGTTGAGGCCAATCAAGGCATTCAAGCATACTATCTATTAGTTAGAGTCTATTTCAAAACCAGCTAGAAGTGGGATGGGAGGAGTTGGCCTAGTAGGTCACTCACTGGAGGTCAGGGTTGCTGGCACTTGCCTTTGGAGATATCAGAGCTCTGTCTATAGCCTGGCTCACATTAGTGAGGGAATTACTGGTTCCCATCTTTTATTTATGCATACTAGGACCTCCAGCTCTATGTGGATGCATAGGGTCATCTAATTCCATTCTTATCCGATCACCATTGTCATGAGGTACAAATATGGTATAGGCAGCTCACAACACAATCAGCCAGTTGGGAATGTGCTGTCTCCACTCTGAATGGACTCAGTTGAATGTGAAAGAGGAGAGTCTTGATGTGGAAGAAGTAATTTATTTTTAGTGGCTGCCTTAAGAACATCTAAAGTACATCTTTGAGATGTATCTTAAAATTTTAAGTCAATTACATAGCCCTTTTTTGAGCTACATCTGAGACTTCACAAATAGGTGATTCTTTTATTTTCCATAACTGAGAACCACTACCTTCACAGTAATAGTGAAGACAGGTGGTACATTTTTGGACATCTTTATTCCTGGCTACATAGTTAATGTGCATGGACATAAATATATGCTACTTTCAAAGATGCTATTGTCTAATACATTATCTCAAGATTTTTCAAAAACTTTATTCCTCAAAGATTGGAGTTCCAAATATCACCAGCAATCTCAGGAGAACTGATAGAACTAAAGAAAGTTGGGGTTAGTTACCAATTTATTTGTTGTCATAAGTGATAAATATACTTTCAAAATAAAAATGGAAGGCAATGGAGCAGATGAACACCATTTGTGGAGCCAGACCTCCAAAATGCAGCCAAGGTCCCATTCATTACTAGCTGTGTGTCTTTACAGAAATTGCTTAATCTCTACAAGTTTCAGTTCTCTAAAATGAGGATAAAAATTATAGGATAAAAAGGTAGTTGGAAAGATTGAGTGAATTAAAACATGTTAGAAGAGCAGGACATACAAAAAGCATTCAATAATTATTCTGAAATAGATTCTCCATTATTTATAGTAAAAAATACTCCTACCATCAGTTATTTCAATTCTATGAAGATTTCAGCCAATCAAAAATCAACTAAATCCTTAGTCAATAAGCAAGTTTTACACCAAATGTTGGGCTCACCATCAAATATACCAAAAAAATAAAATTAGGCATTGTTTTCATTTAAATATTGTAATATTTGTTACATTTAAAATATTAGATGTGTTATAGGTGGAATAAATGGTATTATGAAAGACAAGAGATGGGAAATGCCATGGTGCACTGGAGAATTATTATTGGTTTATGATGAGATACAGACATTGTGGGGCAGAAGTAGAGAATGACAGGAATGGAAAGGTAGGTAGAAGAAATGCAATGAAGGATCTAATTAGATCTTTTGAAATTGAGAGGAAGACATGTGGAACTCTGGATAAGCAGGGGAGTGACAATATGGCCTGATTAGTATTTTATAAATACAAATCTGTTGTCAATGTGGAAGATGGATTTAACAAGTAAAAATTCTGGTGTATGATTCCCAATCTTGCAAAATGGACTACAAAGTTGTTTATAGAATATGTATATGTGTGTTTACTTTAATAGAATTAATATAATAAATAGAATACAAAGAAAGGAAAAAATATTACCAGAATTATGACACAGTATTGACTTCTGAAATTTCTGGTAGGCAGAATAAAAGGAGAAAGACAACATGCTAAAAAATATTATTTAAGAGAGAAAATATTTCCTTTCCCTTTTAACAAATGTCTCAAAGGTATTTCCTTGCAAAGGACCTATAAAAGTGACATTGACCAAAATAAAGAAAAATGCTTTTGACAGTAAAAACTACCATAGTTTTGTATCTGAGCTTTTGTAGGGAGACAGATAGAATTGAAAAAGTGCAATAGGTAGAACTTGAAATAATTGTAATTGATGAGCTCCTCAGAGCTCATGTGTACAACTGGAGCCACAACTACAAAGGCCTGTAATGACCAGGCAGATACAGGAGTGAAGCAAGCTGGCACAATCATGATGAGAATAAATGGCTCCCTATTCAGGCTCTGTGCTGGGAAGACAGAGAGTGGTGGAAACCATGGTAAAGAAGCAACTGTCTCATGCGAAAATACAAATCCATGGGTCTTTAGTAGATCTGATTTTTCAAAGGAAGTGAGAAATACAGGTTTCTACACAAAATCTCCTTTTAACAGTTGCAACTATTTCTTAGATTTTTTACCTTAATATTGAGTGGGCCAAAGGGCTGAAATGAATCCTGTGAGCCTGAAATGTGAGACCTCCAATAGAGAGTGGTGAGAAAAGAAAGAAGAAAAGAAGGGACCCTAGGTTGCTCAACAGTGCAGCTCTAATGTACACCTTTTATTTATACAATTGACTAATACAGTGATTGTGACAGCAAACCTCTTTAAAGCTGGCAGTGATAATACAAGAAGGCTTATTTAAATTTAGGCTTAAATATAAACTCTTCGAAACTGCCAAAATGCAATAGATAAAGAATTTGATGTGCCTTCTCCTCTTGCTTGCCTATATTTAGAACTACCCACCACCTCAACAATAAAACCAACAGCTGAATTCCAGCAGAAGCTTAAGTATTAATTTGCACCAATGCCAAACTAAATCATCAAACCATAGAATAGGAAAAAAAAACCATCACAATTAAAACAGAAATTTCATATCCCCTTTTATGTTGTGGTGGTTGTTGAAATGAAAGCACCATCTGTGGTGTACTTATTATCTTAACAGTAGCAGCAGAATTCCTCTTCTCTGGGAAATGTCTTTGTTTAGGAAAACACCCTGATGGGCCATTTGCATGTACAAAGATAGACTTCTGGGTTCAGAATAAAAAGAGAGAATGCAGGGAAGATAGGACCCATGTTCCAGAACTCATATGGAATGCATTAGCCATGAATCCAGATGATTTGGCAGAACCACAACCTCATCACAGAAAGTGACCTTGAGAATCTAACCT